GAAATGACGTAAGAGATAGAATAAGGTTATACCTTTAGATGATGCCTGAGCTGCTGCTCGTGCTGCTCGGCCAGCTGCTGCCGCTGCTGCTGGAAGTGCTGCAACAGGATCTCCTGCTGCAGCTGCTGCTGCTTCTTCAGCTGCAACAGCACGCGCGTTACGCTAAACTACCCCAAACTAGTGCTCCGCAAACCAGTTAGTATGACCTCACGTACTGCCGCACTCGTGTGCATTAAAGTGGTCTCTTAGAGTAGCAAAAACTAAACTAAATGACCCCCTTGGACTGTTAGATTTAGACCACTTTTTCATTAAGAGACAATGCTTTTCATTAGCAAGTTTAACTACTGTTTCCACGACAGCTGATATATATAGTTAGACAATTAACATAACAACTCGTCACTTAGTGGAAAAGAGGTTTTCTAATAAATGCTATAACTGTACTCACAGACAAACAAGTATTCACATTTAAAAGAATATGTGCAAATATTTAAAGAAGATTTTATTTATGTTATGATAACTTTATTAAGAATGCGATAATTGAACACAACACAAAACTGGTGAACTGGTGAACACTGATTTTAATACTATTTTTAATCACATTACGCAGAATTATTTATTATATTAATTCATCTATGTATTTATGTAACAATTTTATGAAATGTAAACTTGAGCGGAGTGGTTCATGTGGAGCATATCGTTCACACACAGTTATAGTGGTCAATCATTCAACAAATCTTGTCTCAACATATATTATTAGACAATGTCTCTCATGTATGTCTATTATTTTCATATAAACATTTTAGTTCAGATCATTAGGTCATCACCACAGATGTATCATTGTAAGAATATGTCACAACTAAATAACATTTTACAAATAAACAAACAGCCGTGTGACGTCACACTCCGTACAGGCGCTTTACTACATGTACAACATATTGACAGAGACGAATTTGAACATGTGCTTGTGTCTGGTACAAACATTATTTCAAAGTAGTTTATCGCGGAGGGGTCGTTTATAAAGATCAACTTGACCCACTGCCGCAAACTGACAAACCTTACAGCAATGTATGACGTAAAAATGTCAATAATAAGTGATATTGTTTAAGCACAAGTTGACCTTTGTGTGTAGTTATTGATAAGTTACCAATTTGGTGGACGGTGAACTGACACGGTCACCACTAATCTAAACACACTTATAATCAACATCAAATTTAAAATAGCACACAGCAATTATTATGTTTTGGAAAAAGCAGCGTCGCGTGTTACATTCAACCGGCACCATTCAAATGCTTATTTTTACCAATTTTAGTTAATTCATAAATATTATAATAAAATTATAACTAAATTATTGGGCCATTTTTAACATAACTACGCTATTGAGTATGTTTTTCAGCAGTGTATTTATGAACAATTAACTTTGTCTAAATCCGGACATTGTCTTGCTACATCACAGTGACAAAAATGTACAACATATATATATAAACACCAATTAAGCTATAAACTATACGAGGAAAAAGGGATATGTTGACATGATATGATATACAAACATGTTATTCTATTTTGAGAACCTTGTTATTGCCGCTGGAGGCTAATTTATTGCCTAGTTGTGTAATTAAAATCAACATTGACATGTTACCTTCGAAAATATTGACAGCGCTAAGGTTCAAAAATTAATTGTAAAATATCGAAAAATCCACACCTGGCTGTGGCCAGTAGTTGCTATTCAATGACAATTCAGTCAAAGAGTTATTTTTACCCTTGATATTATATTTCAGTATAAGTTGTATAAAATGGACCATATAACATAGCAATAGCAACATATATAAAGAGGTGGCGGTTGAAGGTGGCAGCGCGCGCTGGACACACAGTACGAATAGGTAATGGGTCCACTCACTTGCAACAGGAAATCATTCTCTAAGCTTTGTTTTGCTCTCTCCGCAATATGGTTCTTTCTTGGGCTCTGACTCTGACAAGGAGAGGATACACATGTATGACAGCACTAGAGGCAACACTCGCGTGCGCGTGTGCGTGTCCGTGCGGGAGTGCCCCACTGACACACACGCCCACGCGGTGCCATGTGCGAATCTCATATGAACACATTCCATCGCGCCGATGGGACAATGCATGCCTTAGCCGGAACGAATCCGATATATTTAGAACGGAATGTGCTTTTGTGACAGTACGTTTACCCACATTGAATTCAACGCTCAATCTCAATTCGTGACATCACTGTCATCTAAATATTGGGGCGCCTGCGTTCCGCAAAATAATTTTATTACAACAACAGCTATGATGATGCGGAGGGTGCGGGGGACAGGGGGAAAGAGGCGTCTCCGTATATTTCTGGCGCGTACATTATTTTGGTGAGATGTAAAAAATGGCGAGCGTCGGAATGTGCGCGGCAGCGAGCGGCGAGCGACGGGCGACGGGCGGCGGCACAAAGCGCGCGTGGGAGCGCCGCGTGTCGCGCACCGCTGTATTCGAGGTGGACATCCAGAACAAGTGTTAACAGCTTATTAAGAGTCCAACTACATCAGTGATTCACTAATATATTGCGAAACTCTTTGATTGTTATTATACTAATCACAGCATATTTGTGAATGTTTGCATATTATTTGATTGTTTACGTATTTGTGAAATCGAAGTAGGTTGCGAAGTAGATGCGAAGGTTTGCCTAAACTTTACTTCAAAAAGTATACACTCCGTTATTATCTATTTCTGAATCGACTGCTCAATATAGCAGTAGATTCAGCTATATACATTGTCTTTCATTCAATGTTATGAATGTTTGCAGTATCAATTAAATACATACATACAAGTTTGTGCGAAACTAACGATAAGAATAAACTAAAAAGCTTTGGAGCAGATCCAAGTTCGCTAACAACAAAAACCCAATAGATATTGCAATAGTAATTGTGTATTAGCTAATGTACAAGAGATACGGGATTTAGAAATGCAATGCACTCATCGCGACCTTATCTATTATCAACCTTACAAATGTTTGTGTGCACACACACGGCCACTTCTAACTTCTCGGTCAGTCTCAAGCTTTCTATAGTAGGAAAAATCCTGCAAATAACAAATTACTTTGTTATGAACCAATATTTAGATAGTTATTAAATCTAAATATGTAATAGTTAAAATTATTCTTAAGCTAGCACTACCGCAGACGCGGCCACTACGTGCTCGTTTTATCATTCATTAATAACTAAAACTTAGACATGATAAACATGAAACCTCTCTATATTCTAAAGAGTTTGCGAATCCTGCGGGTATATCTGATATATATGTATTGCAAGGCAAGGGACCGAATCGCTCCGCTATATTTACCCGGCCCTGTTGTACAAATGTAAATATAGTTGTATGCAAACGGATGAGCCGAGCCGTTTCTTTTTTATTATACGGTATATTTATAACGCACGCGAGATTTTATAAATACTCGGGTTTAAAAATGCGTCGGGCGGTGAGGCGCGCGCGCCGCCCGACAAAAGGTCACGGGTGGCCGCCGGCGCGCGCTCGGCGGATGTAAACACTGACCGGCGGAAATCATTTCGCTCACAGGAATTGCGCTCACTACTAATATTATATTAAATTCTATCATAATAAAGTTCATCAAACATTAAAATGATTCTGTTCAGCTGTAAATTCAAGTAAAAAAATAATAATAAAACTATAATTTATTATAATAACGCGCCAGATTACGGAGATGCCCATTTTTATATTGTATGGAATGATATGGAGACTAAATGACTATGAATTAATAGATATAGAACGTAAATACAGATAAGAGGAGAGGTGGTAGGTACCTGCATGATCTGGTGGTGGAAGCTGGTGTCGTGGGGCAGGCGCGGCGCGTGCGGCGGCGAGGCGGCGTGCGGGGAGCCCGCGCCCGCCCCGCCGCCTGCGCCCCCCGCACTCTCGTGCGCCATCTCTGTAACCACAATATGTCTTTATTAACTCACAGTGCAATTGAGGCACAACGGACAATACTTTGAAGTGGCCAAAGGTAGTTTGAATCCGCCGTTTCAAATGCGAAGCTATTAATTGCAATTACTGATGTTAATTTCCTACGTCCATAAACTTTCAGAATAATTCAATAGATAGTATTTGCCAAACCTGCTTTTGACATAATGAATATGCAAACAAAATTGAATTCATTTTAATCATAGAGTATGAATAAAAGATTTATATTAGACATTTCTGAATAAAGCGGACACTCCTAACAAGTTTGAAATCGAATATTGACAGATGTTATGCGCGAGGTCTTTTAAGGCCACGGGTGGACTTGCGTGCGCCGCGGGCCCTGCGCGCCCCAGCCGATGTGACCTACATCGTAGGGTGCGATGCAGCGGGGGGTGGGCGGGTGAAGGCAGTGGGGTCGCAATCAAGTTTATTTTTAGCCGAGACTATATATAGAAAGGCTCCAGCGGCCCGGGACACGAGCGTCCTTCGCTACCCGCCTATATTGCCAAACGCTTTCTTACTATTTATTTTAATGATTGAGAGCATCTGCTATTTTTTAAATACGTAATATTGTTACGAATTACAAACAGAATTTATGACGAAGATGTAATAAAGGTACATAAATTTAGGTTAAATTAAATTTTACGTTAAACGACCATACTATCACATAAGAAAAAACATACGAACATATCATAAAACATTATAAAGCCACAAAAATATCCACATTTAGTAAAAGTTAATTGAACCTTATTCGACGAGTATGGAAATAGGGCGCGTCCATCGTTTTCTTGACCCTCGTCTCTACTTTCCTAAGCTTTTCCAGAGTTAGGCCACACGCATATTCCAAAGACTTTAATTTTGATAGCAAGATAAAGCGACGTTTATTGACACAAGAAAAGGACCTTCACAAAATTCATATAAACACAAACAAGCTACAAGTTCTCGTTTCGTAGTCGTCTACGAGGCGCAACGTAACACGCCTACGCACCGGGAGCGCTACGCGAGCCCGACCTACGCCGCCTACGACGTGGTTTACGTCTACGATGTAACGTGGCCCGTTCCGTCCCACTCCGATACTTTCTATAGTACTACGTTGTTATTTGTTCGAATATTATTAGTATGTGTAAATAATAATATTAAAATGAATACAAAAATTGAAAAATACACATTTTTTCGATTTCTTGCAACAAGGGTAAGTAGGCCCGAGGCCAGTAAATTATGCGTGACCGGCGGGATAACTTTATCAATTACAAACAATAAAAAAATCATATATTATATTTGTTAAGAATCTAATAACCAAAGTTCATACTTTAAATACTTCTAGCATTTAGTCAACAATGCTAGAAGTCGAAGTCGCTCACAGCGATTGAGTTCAACATGCCGCTGTGTTGATCACTATATTCATCTATGCGACTGTTTTATTTAACCAAGTGATTTGCCATTAATATTATGCGGGTTCATTTTTTCACTACAGTACAGATACGGTTTCCCACAACATGCTGTAGAATCCTACCTATATAAATTGTAGATAAGAGATTGAACCTTTAAACTTAATCAGCGAATCTTGCTACTCTTTTTATTTGGTGCTCCCTTTCCAATGAAAAAGCTTTTGCAAACTCAAACAAAGCTCTCCCGCTCCTCTTGCCCACGCAACGTCACGTTTATAAATAGAAAGCGAAACGCGACAAGTGAAGGACGTACCGAGCCGCGCTCGCCACTCATCTCGCTCGCACTCTGCTCATGACCCACTCGTGCGAGGAGGAAGGAAAATAAAACGGAGCAAGTAATGAAGATCTAAAAATAGAAGACGCACGCGAACTACGCAACGTGCCTCCATCGAATTGTTCCAAAACACGACGTTTTTCAAACTGTGCAAATTATTTTTTTTTTTGTTAACAACGTGGTAAAATGCTTACGTCAATAATAAAATTGAAATTACGGAATGAGGAAAATATTGTGAGTGTAATACGTAATGCAATAACAATATCAAAGAATGTTAGCTTAATCTTAGCGTTGCATTTTAAAACATCTTATTATTTGAGTTCCATTTTATTATTAAAAAAAAAAAACAAACTTGCCTCTAAGACTCTTAAATCTAATTCTAAGGAAGATTAATATTCACCAGCTGCCAAAGGCAGAACTAACAATGACTTAAGTATAAAGCTCATTATTGACTCACAAAGTAACACTTGCAGGTAAATTATAAAACAAACACAATAATTAATAACAATAACAATTTCAAAACTGATAATAATACATCCAAATTATAAATGTACACAACAAGCACAATTTTATTCAAACTTTCAGAACATAACTGTTTCATCTAGATTTGCAGCTGTTTTAATGAATAGTTTATTCCAAGTGTGAATTTCAATGTTGTGTATTATGATACATATGTACTACACACGTAATTAAACTACGTCACGCAGACAACAACAAAAAGTAGTCAGCCTTACAAAATAATCACGGAATATTATTTCTTTAATTTGAATATGGAAATAATATTAAAGCAAAAATACGTTAATAATTAACTTAATTATACTTGTTGAAGTACCTTTATAAAATGTTATACACATATGTATTTGTTTTAAGAGGCGTGAAGTAGTTTACTTTCATTTTAGCTGCTACTAAAAATATTTATGTATTTATGCGCTATTTTATGAGTTTGTAATAATTTTATTTCAATTTAAATAATATAAACAGTATTGTAAAAAAATCTGAATTCAAAATATTTTTATTACAAATTTTAGGAGAACATACAAAGCTGTGTTGGTGAATGTCCACTAAATACTTCCTGTATTTACACTCTTGTAGATATACCGATCAACTAGTTGAAAACAGAGAGCCTTGTATCCAGTGGGAAAGCTACGCGGTGCTCGATCGCGGGATCGATGCTTAAAATAGTTGCCCATAAAAGCGGACTCCTGCCGCTGCGCTCCAGATTCCCAGCGGCGCTATTTCCGTCCGGCAGTAAACACGCCGTCGCGCCGCTGCCTGTTGCTCGCAGGCTATTTGCGACCACCTAAATGCACCACCTACCGGAAAGATTGCCGCTTTTGGAACTACATTTTTATAACACTTTTTGTTCTGACTCAAATCGAAGCAGCTTTATTTATGCATCCACCCTTATAGTCTGAAAAAATGCAGGCGAACCTGGAAAATCGATAGCTTGGGTTAAAGAGAAATCTATATAAGCAAAAAAAAAATCGCGGTCCTTTGCATTCTCGCTTATTCAGGTTCGATTAATTTTATCTTCATTGATTCACAAGGTGGTTAGGAATCGACTTCAGTCATCAACTACAATAACTAGGTGCTCCTACACCTCTGATTCAAGTCTCGAGGATCGAACCTAAGGTAACAAGACACCGCTGAGATGTTAATAAGACCCAATACGAAACAGCGATTACACTACAAGAATAATACATATTAAAAATCACTGCATTTATAGTGATTTGATGTTCTAGTGCACTAGTTTGAGAAGAAAAATGTCAAGTTCATTCTCATTGTACACTAGGTAGGCGTCACGTCTCGGCGCTGACATAACGCCGCCCACCGCCGCGCGGTGTCGACAGCGTCGCACGCGTCCGCGCTGCGAACACAGGTGCTCGACACCGATGTGCATGTCTGTAGGTTCGCCATGTACTAAACGGGACGCCACTATGTACACCTTTTACTTTTTAATTGCATTCTAAATTCTTAAGAATGTTCATACTTTAAGCACTATTTTAATGATCAGAATAATGTATAGAAAGTTTATTCACGAATTCCGAGCAATCCATTCGATTCGAAATCGTCCACAATTCGTGAATGACATAGTACGATATTGTGGTTGCGCTCGCGTCATGTTTCGACCGTTTGCATTCCGCGAAGCCGAAGCGGCATTTCCGGTCCACTTGCGCGAACACCGCTGCCAAAATAATTTGAAAGCGATAACCGGACGTAATACTTGGTAGAGGAACGGATGATTGTTTTATTTGTCAATTGTTATAGTTATATACACTCTAGTGATTATTTAAAAACGTTAAGAAGGTTTTGTATTTGTATTGTAATAAAAAGCTAGAGTATAAAATTGCATAAAAATGTTTCGAAGTAATAATGATGCTTAGTACTACATATAGTATAGTGTTATTCCTAAAATATCTCGTTTAATCACGAGACTGTCCAAGTGAGCCCTCGCGCAAATTGTTCCCCTAGTAAGGCGCGAGGCGCGAGGCGCGAGCCGAAGAGAGGCAACTGTTTTGATTGTTCAATGGCCGTCCTGTCTCTCTGATTGAGTGACTGTTTGGACGGGATCGGATTAAGTGTCGTCCTGCGCTGTCAACATCTATTGCCTCACGCTCCAGGACTTTTACTAGCTATATTATTACACAAAACACTAAAATATTATTATAGTTTACTTTTTGCTATTTGTTATAAGTAAAATAAAATGCATAAGAAGCTACTCTCTTTTTATGCGTAATATAAAGCTAAATGGATATTTAATTTATCGCAAGACTCCTAATGTCAAAGAACAAAAAAAATCAATTTTAATGTGTTTCAGTGACTATGACAAAAATAATCGTTTAAAAACGTGGGCATCTTCCGAAATAGGCCACCGATTAGATGAGGGCCATAACTCACGTCTAGTTGATGCGGCGCTGCGCAGGAGTGAATCACAGCTATAAATAGCTTGCCAGCTATAATTAGCTAACCATGCAGCGAACCGCCAACGAGCAGCCACAGAGCCAGCATCACAAGGACCTGCCGTTAACTCAGCACCAACATCACATTGGTTACTTTGAATTTCGGAGTATAAAATGGTTGTTTTGTCTAGTATATTATCAATAAGGTGAGGCAAATAGTTTTCACCGCGACATACTTGTCAACAACGCAAATGTCCTCGCACAGATAGCGAAGCCGTTATGAGAGGCAGGTCGCGATCACAAATGTAAATCTGCAGGCGGGTGTATGCGCCGCTGTATAAATAGC